CCCTTCCAGTGTTACACACGTGAGACGCTGCATTTCGGTTCTGACATTTCCCACTGCACCTCTGGGAAACAGATAGCAACTGATCGGTCTTTGAGCCCTGTGCTTTTAGTTGCCTGGGGGAAGATTCTTTCTGTGCCATCAGACCACCTCAGTAAAGAAGCTTGCCAGTCCCTCTCCAGCCTTCCTTTACGTTACATGCGAACAAGGGAGGCGCTTGAAGTGTGAGGTCATCCCCCGCGCCCACTCCGCACTCTGCATCAACCGTTTCCATTTGCCAACGTCCACTTTTTCAAAATTAAAAAGGGAAAAAAAGAAGAAAAAAGAAAGGAAAAAATAAAAATAGGAAAAAAGCAGTGAATTTTTGAGCATCTGGGGGTGCAAGGGATCATGTGTTGCTGTGTGGAAACCCCCCTATCTCTTGCTTTTACTTAGTAGATTTTTTTTTGACTGGACTAAAAACCGACAAATATTTTACATTGTTTTCATAGAAAACCGCAGCATGAAGAAGGCGTCAAAAGATACTGCTGAGGTCTTGGAGTGGGCAGCTGCTGCGCGCCATCCGAGTGCTTGATCGCCATCAGCTTCTGCTTTATTGGGGGATGAGGGGGGGATGATAAAAGGCAATTGGAAATGGAAGTTCCACATCCCCTGCGTTTTCAGCCTGGCCTGGCCTGCATCGCTAGGGAGATGGCTATGTCTACGCTGGTGGGTTATTGTGCTAGAACGGCCGTTCTTCCGCAGAGCGTCCACACTGCCCGCCCACTCTTGCGCAAGAAGATTTACAGTACGGCGTGGTAAGAGAGGGCTTTGTGCGCAAGAGCTATGCTCTTTTCTAACAGGTGTAAGCTCTCTTGCGCAAGAGGGCAGTGTGCATGCGCGGCAGGGGTTTCTTGCTCAAGAAAGCCCTATGGCTAAAATGGCCATTAGAGCTTTCTTGCACAAGAGAGTGGCCACACTGGCACGGATGCTCTTGCGCAAAAGCACAGCTCGCACATGGCAGTTTGGACGGATGCCTGCACAAGAGTTTTTGCACAAGAACCCACCTGTGTAGACATAGCCCTAGTGTGGGTCACTGGGCCATGGAGTGGCACTTAGACCAACCACTTACAGTGAGAGATAAGACTGAGTGAGCTCTACAGCTTAAGCTGGGAGCCAGCTGCCTTTATTGCTGACGCTGTAGAAGCTCCTGCACTGAGGTCCCAGGTTCAGATCTGCCTGGTGGTAGTTACACATGCACATGCTTCTCACAGTAATGCTCTTATTTCACACAGCTTAATAAACCCCCGGAAGTGCATTTGCACTACAGGAGTCTCCCTGGTCCTTAGCTTGTCCCCAGCTCTTTGAGCCTGGGTGAGGATGAAAACATAAAACCCAAATCTCAGCCTTTTTTAATGTATAAAGGGAATTGCTGGCTCAGATCATACAGTGAAACTGATCAGATGTGTGAAATACAAGTATGCTGGGAATATTGTGGCAGTGACAGAGCCCTGGACAAGCACCTCCCGATGCTATTCCTGTACTGCCTGGGTAATTTATTCAGCCTCGGCCCTGAAATACATCACAATCTGTGCCTGAGGGAATCGTTTATACCTGACACAGGGCTGCCATGGTGATGTTTAATTCATACAGGAGAAGTGTTTTGATGAATAACCTAAAAAAAGAGAGAAACGGCTCAGAGTTGACGTTGAGATTTCAGCTACTTTCCTGCAACCTCATTAAAACTTTATGGGTTTTCATGGCCAGAGCCTGGGTTCTTCTGTGTCCTGCCACCCATTCAGCAGGCTGTAACTTCTTTGTCTTCCCCATATGAAGGTATTTGGCAAGGCGGCCATCCGCCTTGCACCTTCCTGGCAGGGTCACCAGGACAACGTGAAGGGAAAACTCTAATCTCCGGGTTCCCCCACTTACTTGCAAGGTAGTTGTAGACTACAGAGAAATAACACACGCATGTGCAATATACGTAACGTAATTCTGTTATGCAGGAGGTAAATACAGCAGGTAAACCCCCATTCTCAGGGTCCCCTGGGCCCATGCTGGTAATACCCCAGGGAATTTCCCCAGTCACGTGACCTGTCCTAACAAATGCACCGTTAGTGTCCCATTGGTGCACGTGCATCGGAGGGGCCCTTGGTGACCCGTGACTGCGAGATCCTGGGTGCAGCTGTTAGCAGTGGGGCTAACTGGGCACAGTGCTGCCCCACAAGTCACAGGTGGGATCGGGCGGTGAGTCCCTCTGCAGGGGATACGGCCCCCAGCCCTTTGCTCCCAGGCATGAGGACCAGGTTCAGGGAGGCGGGGTCTCCCACACCACATCCAGGCTAGCTACCTGAGGGGCGGTGCACTCACCACGCCATGAGCAACTGCAGGGTCAGAGCTGGCTCCAGAACTTTCCACGCTGCAGATGGGAGCCAGGCTGCTTCTGGTTCCAGGAGCCTCCCTCCCCACCAAGGTGCCAGTTCCAGTAACTCCTCAACTCCAGACATAGGTCTCCTGCCCAGGGCTCAGACACGCTCACTGCAGGCAGCAGCCCTGGAGCATCGGTGCCATGGGGCACTGATCTCCCCTAGGCAGCCCGACGGCAAACTCAGCCAGGCGGGGGACATTTTCCCAACAAAACTCTGCAGAGGGTTTTGCCTTGGAGTGGGAAAGGCTCAAGCAGAGGGATCCTGCTTTCCGGCCACCAGTGAACCCTGGGTCTCACGAGGCCTCCCTTGCCCTGGCTGGCTCCACACTGCTTCCACGTGGTTTCTCCCAGGAGCAGGCATGTCACTCCCTGCTGGTTAGGTGAGCTTTTCTTCCTTGGCTTTCCCCTGCAGCCACTGGTTCTGAGCAGGCTCCTGCAATCCTTCCCCGACTGACAGGCCCCACATCTGTCCTTGGCCTCTTCTCTCTCCCTGAACTAGCAGCCCACAGAACCCCAGGAACCCCCTTCAGGGCCCCCATATTTCCATTGAGACGCACGTGTTCAGAATACATGCAGAAACAGGGGTTTCATCTCAAGCAGCTTGCTCAGAAGAAAGGTCGTGGCTGCTACCGCTGCCTGAGACCAGCTTGGGCAGTGCATGCCGCCTTCGGGCCTGACTAATGCTTTGCAGTGGCACGTGGGGCGAGTTGTGCCAAACTAATAGTTTTGTTAGTAGCAAAGTTTGATCGAGGGAGCCTGCCAGATTCGTTACAGCTGGGTTGGGCAAGGCCAGAGCTGCCTGTGATCTGACAGATGAATCCATTTGCAGAGCCCGGTACCTAGACCAGTGCTAAATATGCTACAGTGGCCATGTCCTGGCACTAGAAGACTTACCTGGAGTTGCCCGGGTCCTTCAGGGCAAGGGGCTGGCAGTGAGAGGTGGGAAGGAGTGCAGGCAGGGATTGAGGGGGGGGGGGCTCAGGGCAGGGGTTAGGGGTGCAGGAGTCAGGGCAGGGGACACAAAGGGGGGGGGGGACTCAGGACCGGGGCTGGGAGGTCTGGGGGGGACTGACCAGGGCCACCTCTGTGAAGGAGTCAGGGCAGGAATTGGGGGGGGGGGGGGCTCAGGGCAGGGGTTAGGGGTGCAGGAGTCAGGGCAGGGGACACAAAGTGTGGGGGGGACTCAGGACCGGGGCTGGGAGGTCTGGGGGGGACTGACCAGGGCCACCTCTGGCAGTGAGGACAGAGCTGCTGTTGCTGCCCCTCCCCACCACCTACTCCATTGGGGACAGGGCTGCTATGGCCACCCCCAGCTGATGGTTCCTGGAGGAGGGGGTCTGGGGCTCCCTGGCAGACTCTTGGGGAGGGGCAAGGCTGCACAGCCTGTCCCTGGCCCCAGCAGGCCCTCAGTGGGGCAGAGGGCAGGGCTGCATTGGCGGCCCCAGCTCCAGCAGCTCCTCAGGGGGAGGTAGCAGGGCTGCTGGGTGGTGCCCCCCTCTGACACTGGGGCTGAAGGCCAGTGGGGAGGGCCCTTACCCGTTGCTGGTGGCTGGAAACATGGAGCGCTCTGGCCCCAGCTGGCCATTCTCTTCAGGTGCAGCCACACACACGCTGCAGTGTAACTGTCCCTGCACTCCCTGACCCAGTGCTCATTGCAGAGCATAGCCGTCCCTGCTCTCAGCCCCTCCCTTTCCAGGGGATGGGAAACATTCAGATTCCAGGCACTTCCCGTTGTCCTGGCACAAGCAAACCCTGGCCTTGCTCTCAGTTATGAAAAGAGGAAGCCGTGTACTGAATTTGGTGGTCCTGGCTCTGTACTGTTTAGGAGGAGGTCTAGAACAAACAGACTCACAGATGGATGGACTCACTGAGGCTATGTCTAGACTGCAGGCGGATCTTTCGAAAGAGCAAGCCGCTTTTTCGAAAGAGAGCACCCAGCGAGTCTGGATGCTCTCTTTCGAGGAAGCCCTATTTACATTGAAGAACGCCTTCTTTCGAAAGAGGAACTTTCAAAAGAAGGCGTTCTTCCTCGTGAAACGAGGTTTACCGCCATCGAAAGAAAAGCCGCGTTCTTTCGAAATAATTTCGAAAGAACGCGGCTTGAGTCTGGACGCAGGGGAAGTTTTTTCGGGAAAAGGCTACTTTTCCCGAAAAAACCCCTGAGTCTGGACACAGCCTGACAGAAAGACAGACACACAGACTCTCTAAAATATATAGCTAGAAGTAGCACATTCTTGGACCAACACCTCCACATTTTTATGTGAACTTTAGTAGGTGCTAGCCAGAGTAATGAAAGAGTTACTCTTTACCACCCCACCCCCAGAAAAGCAACACTAAAATCTCTCTTTTTCCACTTTCCAATCCTACATCGTTACTGAGAAATGGAGTGTTTCCATGTCAGTTGACAGAAGAAGGCCCTTTCATAAAATTGATCTCAAGCCATTTTGCATTTACTCCCGTGTACGGGAGAAAGTCTGTAGCCCAGCAGAACCACCGTGAAATCAAGGAGCCATTGTGTGTTTTGTCACCATGGCAACTCAGTCCCTTTTAGCAACACTGTTGTTTAAGCTTTTCTTTCTCCTTTCCTGCCCTGTAGGTTAACCTGGATCTCACCTCCCTCCTAGACAGTGAAGATAAAAAGTCAAAGAACAAACGGGGAGTCCTACCAAAGCACGCTACCAATATAATGCGTTCCTGGCTCTTCCAGCATCTCATGGTGAGATAAGTCAACAAGCCTGTAAGAGAATATAAGCAGGGACAGGTTTTAAGGGTGCTCATCTTACTCTGCCTCTTCATGAGATGAGAATTCGTATGTGCGCATGCTTAAATAAAATCCACAAAATCTCCAGGAAGGTCACTCAGAAGATATGGATAAACCTTTTTTTTTTAACAAAGAGGAAGAATGATGTTATATGTAAATTTGAACCTTAAGAATATGAATGAAGGAATTTTTAAGAATTCTAATTAATGTTACACCACTTATGCCATGTGCTTATTTTTCCCCATTTCTCTCAGCCTGGAGCATGAACATAGCCTAATTGGCTTCCTTTCAGTTTCTAACCAGTTCATTTGCATCCTTGCAATGTTTGGGATGGAGATGCTAAACTGCCACGTTTATTTCTTTAAAAACAGACATTGCAGCTTTTCTATTGGGCTGAGGTTTTGCAAAGATTTTTTTTCCCACAAAACCTAAATTGTGGGTCAGTTTGACCTGTCAGGTGTTCCTTTAAGATGTGTTGCAAGACAAAGATGAATATTTATTATCCAGCAAAAGTAAATGCAAGGGACAGCACCAGTGAAAATCACAAAGTCAGAAAATGCCCAGGCTAAGGCACATGCAGCAGTGTTAACGGAGGGCTTGTCTGCATTGTACGGCAATGCTCACAAGATGGATGGGATTTCTCAAGGGCACCGTGTCGAGCACTAACTGGCTTGTGTTGACCCTCTTGGCACAAACTAAAAGTCCTTTACTGCAAGTTAACACCTTACGATACTGTGTTTATATGCAAGTGGGAACTTTTAGCTCATGCCATCAAGCTTCTGCATGGGCCAGTTAGGGTGTGTCTACACAGCAAAGTTATTACGGGATAATGGCCGCTATTCCGAAATAACTACGTGAGCATTCTACACAGCAAAGTTATTACGGGATAATGGCCACTATTCCGAAATAACTATGCGAGCACCCACACAGCCATTCCAGTATTGCAAAATAATTTCGAAATAACCGATGGCGTATTCCGACTTCTGTAAACCTAATTCTACGAAGAATAACGCCTATTCTGAAACAGCAATTGTGTAGACGCTAGTGTTTTTAGACGCTCCACTGCTGCTATTTCAAAATAGCCCCTCACAAGGGCCCTTCTAGGTTATTCTTCGAGAGGCTCTAAGTCAAGATAGCACATCTACATTAGGGAAGCCTGCCTTGGACTAATTGTAAGGCCTCTCTGCAGTGTAGACCTGCTATGTTGAAATAAGCTATTTCAGAATAACCATTCCGGAACAGCTTATTCCGAAATCACTGTGCAGCGTAGACATAGCCTTAGTGCCCAACAGCGGGATGCTCTTTGGAAATCAGACCTTGCTAGAGCACACTGCTGCACTGCAAAGAACAGTACTCGTGTATGTCTGCTGGGTTTTAAGTGTATGTTTTCTACCGTGAGATATACAGTAACAAAACAAATGGAGAAAACCATACCACTGTGCTTATCACAGGGCCCAACTATCTCCCCAGGGAAGATATAGAAGAAGGAAGTAAGGAGGACGAAAACTCCATGTAGCACATTGGCTGCATGGTATTCACTAAATCTCATGGATCTCTTGCAGCCTAAGCAGCCGTGATTAGTGGAGGACAGGGTCATTAGTGGGGAAATCCTGTAGCTGTCCCACAGGCAGTGGTTCTCTGGGGAAGCCACACTCCCCCTCCCCCCCGTTTTTATACCTTGGAAAGAGGTATTCTCCACCATGGAGGGAGCCCACAGAAAGCCCCCCAATAATGCTAATAGGCTTTGGCTCAGGTCCTGCATGCCGCCAAGTTTCCAGCTCCAGCGTGTCTTTGTGCTAACAGGAGCAGGTGAATGGTTTGAATACAAGAAAGGCCATTTTCTTACATATTAGGAGATAGTGAAGGAGCCAGTAAAGGTAACGGGGTGGGGGGAGGGGAAGGTTTCTGGGTTGTGCGGCCTGTCCCTCCCTCTCAAAGCTCATAGTGAAAAGCTAAATTGCTCTGAAGTTCAAAATAATAAACCACCCCACGTTTTCCTGTCAAGTCTTTGTGCATTTTCAAGTGGGGGATATGGATTCAGTGTGGAGATTTGTTTAGCTAAATGCTGTAGGAAGAGTGCCGTCATGTATGGTTCCTGATGCCCAGAAGGGTGCCCTGTAACCATGGCAGTCCTACCCTCAGGGAGTTCTCCGTTCTGCAGAGACCAGAAGGAGGGGCAGCTGATAGCCATGGACACGTATGGGGAATAGCGTCCCAAATTCTGAAAGCAATAGTTACCCATCACTACCATGGTAAATCAGAAGACTATGGGAATGAACACATAGGTGACATGGCTAAGAACGTTTATGAACAGCTCCGTGTATCATACGATGGGACCATTTTTAGCATCTCCCTGCCCACCTGCCAGTGGGTATCAGTGATGAACCCTCTGTTGTGGCAGAGGGAACTAGACTGGGCATGTTGTTCCCAAATAGTTGGTTGACTCTAGAACGCCAAATCTACAAGGTATTGGCCAAGCATTACAGTGACTTATGTCAGCAGCTCCATGCACCACAATCTGCCTGCTGCCTTATTAATGGTGAGTCTCTAGGGGTGTGTCTAGACTACATGCCTCCTTCGACGGAGGCATGTAGATTAGCCAGATCTGGAAAGCCCCCTGCCACCATGCACTGTTGCCTCTGTATTAGAAGCAGCAGCGTGGGGTGCCAGGCGGGAGCTAGTCTGCAAGGGGAGCCAGTTTAAAAACCCTCATTCAGAAACGGTCCCACACCTTCCCTGACTACCTTCTTATTGCTAACATGACTGTAGAAACCTTTCTTGTTACCTTTCACATCCCTTGCTAGCTGCAGTTCCAATTGCATTTTGGCCTCCCTGATTAAACCCCTGCATGTCAACCTGTGGAACTCCTTGCCAGAGGAGGCTGTGAAGGCTAGGACTATAATAGAGTTTAAAGAGAAGCTGGATAAATTTATGTAGGTTAGGTCCATAAAAGGCTATTAGCCAGGGGATAAAATGGTGTCTTTGGCCTCTGTTTGTCAGAGGCTGGAGAGGGATGGCAGGAGACAAATCGCTTGATCATTGTCTTCGGTCCACCCTCTCTGGGGCACCTGGTGCTGGCCACTGTCGGCAGACAGGATACTGGGCTAGATGGACCTTTGGTCTGACCCAGTACTGCCGTTCTTATGTTCTTAAGCATTACAGTGACTTACGTCAGCAGCTCCATGCACCACAATTTGCCTCTTGCCTTATTAATGGTGAGTCTCTAGGGTAGCATCTCATAGGGCATCACGCACTTCCTGAGATGCCTCGCTGTTGTTTGCACCCTTTATGTTAGGAGTGCTTTGTGCAACTGCCAGCCAGCTAGAGCAAGGAGGGAATCAGGCTGCAGCAGATACAGAGATTTCAGACAACCAAACACCTCCATACCGCGATGGGAACACTGGAAACCAAATGCTGGGATGAAAATATTGGTAGATATTGGAAACCCAAATGGGGATCTGTCCATCCCTTTATATGTATTATCTTCTACCTAGTCATTACCATGGTACCCTTCAGAGCTCTAAGCAGCAGACTTTCCAAGTCAGGCAGATGCCTACTAAGATTTTCAGATCCTTTAGCGCCTGTGAAAATCCCTCTACATGCCTGTCTGGTTCTCCGAATTCAGTGGTGCCACACGTGTGTTGGCAGGATGGGGGCCTATGTGGGTATAACAGGGCCAAACACCTCTGAATCTCTTCTGACCAGCAGGGTGCGGTATTTTTCTTATTCCTGGGCTACGTCTAGACTGCATCCCTCTGTCGACAGAAAGATGCAAATGAAGCACATCGAAATTGCTAATGAAGCCGGGATTTAAATATCCTCATTTTTTTGAGGAATGCAGGATCTGTCGAAAAAGGGTTTACTGTCGACAGATCCGTGTCTAGACTGCCAGTTTTTGTCGACAAAACTCTGTGTCGAAAAAAAAGCGGTGGCCATGTTTATGCTAATGAAGCACAGGATATGTAAATCCCGGCTTCATTAGCAATTTCGATGTGCTTCATTTTCCTCCCTCTGTCGACAGAGGGATGCAGTCTAGATATAGCCCTGGTGTCCTCTGCAAGCTGCTGGATGCCCTGGCTGAGTCTTCAGTGGCCTGGCCCTCCAGCCAAGTCACAAACACGCCCAGGGTATTGAAGAGTCAAATAAATAAACAGTCTGTCAGCCTTGCCACAGAGTCCTTAAAATTCTGTACTTGGTTCAGTCTCCCAAAAAGCCGCTTTCTCTTCCTGTGGGTTAGGTCACTACCCGTGTCCAGTAGGGGAACCCAGGCCCAGGTATTGCTCCAGGTTCCAATCTAGGGACCCTTTAAACAGCAGCCATATACTATTTGACTCAGTAAGGGTCTGTCTACACTGCCACCCTCGTTCGAACTAGAGTGGCTAATGTAGGCATTCGAACTTGCAAATGAAGCCCGAGATTTAAATATCCCAGGCTTTATTTGCATGTTCCCGGGCGCCACCATTTTTAAATGCCCCGTAGTTTGAACTACCTGCCCGCGGCTACACGCGGCATGGACTAGGTAGTTCGAATTGAAGCTCCTAATTCAAACTACCATTACTCCTCCTACAATGCGGAATAACGGTAGTTCGAATTAGGAGCTTTAATTCAAACTACCCAGTCCGTGCCGCGTGTAGCCGCGGGCAGGTAGTTCGAACTACGGGGCATTTAAAAATGGTGGCGCCCGGGAACATGCAAATAAAGCCTGGGATATTTAAATCCTGGGCTTCATTTGCAAGTTCGAATGCCTACATTAGCCACCCTAGTTCGAACAAGGGTGGCAGTGTAGACATACCCTTAGTTTCTGCTTGTTCCCCGGGCCTCTTCCCCCCTGTCTCCCTGTCTCATGGTTACGATGCTTAGGTTCTCTCTGTCCCCATATATCTAGCTATGGTGAATGGAGCCAAAAATAAACTCTCGCTATTCCTCAGGTTCCTTTAGCTTTTGTTGTTTCTCTG